CGCTCTAGAGATGATACTCTAAATGCAACAATATTGCCAAGTTGCATTCACTGTAAAATGATAGGGGACGCCCTAACCCCAAAACGAGCCTAGCACAAACAAATAATTTTGACGCCGGCTCATATACATATATATATATATATATATATACAGGGCGCCTTAATGAATAGAATAGGGTGTGGGGGTATAGTATACTATAGTTATAACAAGGGCCCCACCCCCACCCCCCAAAAAAAAAAAAAAAAAATATAGGTTATGATTAAGGCCCTGACAATAACCCTAAACTCCCCTAATACAAACCCTGCGTCCGAAAGCCCAGTCCCCAACATATTCGGCTTCCAACCCAGAAAAAAAACAAAACCGCAAAACCAAAGCCCTAAACCCCAAACCCCAACACCTAAAACCCTAGAGCCTATACCTTAGGGTACTGCCCGCATACAGTAAAAGCCTAGAGTAAGGGTACTACTACCGGCTTATTATTAAGTCTATATATCATGAATACTATTGAACTGTTACTCAATGCGGGCGGTATACCCTAAACCCTGAGCCCCTAAACCCTAAACATCCCTAAGCCCTGCACCCGAAACCCTAAGGCCCTAAATCCTAAACTTGCTACACCCACCCCACTGCTGCCGTGCGGCCCACTCCTTCAACCCGGGCAAATCGGGTTTCCTGATGAAGGCTCAGGGTTTAGGGTTCAGGGTTAGACAAATATTGGTAATTTTTAAGCCTTTTCGAGCAGAGCCGGGATTCCAGCACCAAGCCACCAAGCATCACTAGCCCCGTGTTCCAGCACTCCGGAGCTCAGACGATTTAGGGTTGAGGATTTAGGGTTTAGAGTTTAGGGTTCCGGGTTTACTGCCAGAAGACTGAGTCCCCTGTTGAACCCTTGCACAGCATTATCGAAAGTATAAAACCCCACAGCCTTGTACCGAAAGTATGCCTAAACCCCAAAACAAGATCCGCACCAATGGACCCAAAAGAGAATACAAAGAATTCCTGAACCCTCCATGCCCGTTTTCGGTCCCCACCACAATCATCCGAGAGACAGAAGGAAACCTAAGAAATCCTCCGGCGTCACGCCCTTGTACCTCTCGTTGGTTTCGGGCTTTGGGTTTGGGGTCCAGTTCGGGTTCAGGGATTCAGGCAGCGAAAGTCGGCATGACACACCGCAATGGTCAGCACAAAGCCTTGTTTAACAAGTGCCCATTTATCAAATCCGAAAAGGGGGCTTGTCTAATATGGGGGCCTTAGAAATTAGAATAGGGTTCTGTGCTCCTTTATGGCACTATTATAAAAAGGAGCCCTAACAGTAATATTGGTAATTATTTAGGTCCCTACATTATCAAGTTGGGCTTAGTGGTGTAAGCCCCATGCCCTGATTTCCTCAAGATGAACCGTATGCTGACAGTTGTTTACTAGTCTCCCCATGGTATAAAAACACCAAAATATACCTCTGCAGTATTCAAAAGCCCCACATACATTCACCAAAAGCTTGATATCAACTCCCTAAACCCTAAACCCTGAACCCTAAATGCTAAACTCTAAACCCTAAACCCCGAACCCTGAACCCTGAACTCTAAACACCAAACCCTACACCCTGTACCCTGAACTCTAAACCCTAAACCCCGAACCGGCTGAAAGCCCCTCAACCCACAGGGCTAACTTCTGGGCAAAGCCACTGGGCTCTTAGAAGATGTTGCCGGGTTTTGGGTTTTTTGGGTTGTATATAAGGTTTTTGGGGAGTTTAGGGTTTAGGGTGTTTTGGAGTTTACGGTTCAGGGCTTTGGCAGTTTACGGTTCAAGGTTTTGGGTTGTGTAAACCCTAAACCCTAAAACCCTAAACCCTAAGCCCTAAAACCCTAAACCCTCATCTATGGGTTTCGACCGGGAGACACGCAGGTATGGCAGTGTGTTGAACCCTAAACCCTAACAACATGCCCCAGGGCTTCGGAGGAGGCGTCGCAAGGTTCAGGGCAAAATGGGCGTTTGGATTCACTTGCAAGCTCTTGTGAACTTAGCAAGTGTGCATCCAGTATACCCTCTGAATAACCCCTGCAACAGCATCCAAAACACGTGTTACTATTCCTACCTACAACATTTTGTGTCAGAACCCTGTAACTGTATAAGTAACCCTTACAGTAGCACGCTTGGTACCCCTAAACCTGAAGCCCGACCCCATGCGCACTAAGTCAACAGAGCGTTCAAGTAGGAGCACAGGCTCCAGGTTGCGAACACGAAACACCGAACGGAAAGCTCATTGCCATTTCTTGGTTGGGGGTTTGTATTAGGGGTCCTTGTAATTACAATCCGCCTATTCTGATGGTCCTGTTAGCAAGGATCAACGCGATATCCAAAGTAAAGCAGTCGTGGATTAACTTCCACAGCCCTGAACCCTAAATCCTACACCATCAACCCTTAAACCCTCAAGCCTAAACCCTAGCACCCTAAATCCTAGGTTGACAATCTGACTCTTGATGTACAACGCTTAGGGTTGAGGGTTTAGAACAACCCAGAGAACCCAATACCCTTGAATTACGGTATATACCTTAAATTATCGGGGCCTCAATATGATGATTTAAGGTATAGTATATTCTTCAATTAAGGGGTAGTGGGTTCTCTGGGAACCGTGGAACAGGCGACAAATTGCAGGTCGGGGTTTTGAGTCGAACCTTCCCCAGAGTTGAGAAGCTTTCGAGCCTCGGGCCAAATAGAGTCCAATGCTGCGTGACGTAGAAGCCTAGATAATTACCCAGATGAGTCCTCAGGGTCCCTTTATTATAGTTATACTACAGAAAAGCCCAAAACCCTCTACTTTTTATTGAGGCCCTTGCATTCATTACAGGTAAAACCAAAATCCCGCAAGCCAGGGCCCAGAGCCCTGATTCACTAAGCAGGGTACTTGCCATCGCCGCGGAGGAGCTTGTTCGGATTGCCTCTACCCAGACCACCGGGAGGATCCAAAAATAATAAGTCCCCTAACGGGGTTCCCATAAAGTACCCTTCAGTATGTACGGTCCCTAATTAGGGGATCTACTTTTTTAGATCCTCCCGGGGGTCTGGGTCAGTGGTGTAGGCATTAGGGCATCCGGGGTGTAGTGTCTGCTCTTCTTAACTGGCAGAAAAAACAGTTCGCTGCAATTCCTTGGAGAATGCAACGGTGCGCCTTGTGCAAAAATGAAACTATCTGTCTGTCTATCTGTTGGTCCCAAGTCGAGTCAGGTTTGCGGTTTCGGGATGACCAGCAAGTAGGGTCTAGGATTCAGGGTTTAGGGTTTATGGCTGCACCTGCAAGGGAGATGTCCCTCACATCCTTGCATGTCCGAATGAATGATACCCCACACTCCCGAACCCTAAACCCTAAACCCTAAACCCTAAACCCCTCCCGAACCCGGGCCTGTTTCATGGTGATCTCGCAAGGACACGCGCATCATGAACCTAGTTCATGGTTGGGGTAGTATTACAAATTTAAACTTATATTCCTTATTGGGTNNGTACCCTTAAACATGTAAAATGTTACCCAAGGAACTGCTTCTTGTCGTAGCTCTTTGGCCAGTCACTCTTGATTTGCCATCCGTGCTTGTTGCCTGAAGCAGCTTGTAGGGTTTAGGGTTTAGGGTTTAGGGTTTAGGGTTTAGGGTTCAAGGCTCGGCGGTTGCGGCTGGTTTGGGGTTTAGGGTGAAGACTCGAGTGTGAAACTATGGGTTTAGGGTTCAGGGTAGCGGGGCCGTCCGAATGCTTTTCTAAGTGCCCCACAAGCCCTGAACTCTAACCCAGAAAAACCTTAACCCTAAACCCGAAACTCTAAACCCTAAACCCCCAAGACCCTAAACTCTAAACCCTAAACCCTAAACCCCTAAGACCCTAAACTCTAAAGCCTAAAGCCTGAACCCCCAAGTAGACCCTAAACTCTAAAGCCAAGCCCGCACCGACATCCTAAGACTCTCCGGCCCAAAACCTAGGCAAAGCTCCCGTCCCCACCCACCGATGTTGAAGGTTCAGGGCCGGGAGCTCGGAGTTGCACTGGTTTTTAGGGTTTAGGGTTTAGGGTTTTGGGTTTTGGGTTTTGGGTTTAGGGTTTAGGGTTTTGGGTTTAGGGTTTAGGGTTTAGGGTTTAGGGGTCTAACATAGCCAAAAGTATGTAGAGGGTTCTCTAAATTAGGGTCCGTTTTGGGGTCCCAACAACAGTACGGCACCCTCATAAAAAGGACCCTAAAAGGACCCTAATTTGGAGAGCTACCCATGTAGAAGCCTAAATTATCAGGCTGGTGTTTCGTAGGTTTCTACACTACAAAATAGAATATATTTGGGAACCCTAGCTTGTGTTTTGTAGGTTTCTACACTACAAAACAGAATATAGTTGGGAACCCTAATGAATCATGTTGTTCATAATTCCGGCCCCTCTGTGTGCCTCGAGACCTGGTAAGGACGGGCAGTTTATAGTAGGTTTCAACTTAATTATCCTCATACCCTTAAAGTATAAGGGATCCTAGCACTGATCCTCCTAAACCCATGCTCCAACTAAATTATCCTCACACCCTTGAGGTAAAGTATAAGGGGATCCTAGCACTAATCCTCCTAAACCCATGCTCCAACTTAATTATCCTCATACCCTGAAGGCAGCGTATACGGGATCCTTGCACTAATCCTCCTAAGCCCATGTTTCAACTTTCTGGGATTCGCCGTAGGGGTTAGCGCCTGCTAGTGAACTCTGAAGATCGGGTTTAGGGTTTAGGGTTTAGGGTTTAGGGTTTAGGGTTTAGGGTTTAGGGGAGAAATTTTAGGGCCCCCAAAAAAGCACATAAGCAACAATTAGGATAGGGATATCCCACATAAGCCCCCCTTTAATGAGGCCCCATAAGGTAGGGATGTCCCTACAAATGCTTATGCTTATGTCCTTTTGGGGTTCCTAAAATTTAGGGTTTAGGGTGTAGGTTTTAGGGGTTTGGGCTTAGGGTTTGTGGGTTCCAGTCTCTCCACACCCGCATCTCTAACTTTGTGGCTGCGCTCGGTTCACGCCAAACTCATCAAGGCGAACTGCACGTGACACTGCAGTTGAGGGCCGTAGGGTACCGCGGGAACCGCAAAGCCCTAAAAGCCCTAAAGCCCTAAAGCCCTAAAGCCCTAAAGCCCTAAACCCTAAAGCCCTAAACCCTAAAGCCCTAAACCCTAAGCCCTAAAGAAATTCCTAAATGCCAACCCAGAACCCTAAGCCTTCAGTCCTACGGTCACCACGACATTGAATTCAACCGTACCTGAACCTACGAAATAAGCCTTCCTTAAGGGCTTTGCTACACATACAAGTAGAATCTGGGTAAACCCTAAACCCTAAACCCTGAACCCTAAACGAAGCCGGCCTGGGGCAAGCTCCTCCTTCAGAAGCTCTGCAAACAGATCTGCTTCGCTTTGCTCCGATTTCTCTTCCTGATATGAGGGCCAGGGTTTAGGGTTTAGGGTTTGCCTTGCTTTGCTCCGATTTCTCTTCCTGGGATGAGGGGCCGGGACCCCTAAACCCTACACAGCAAAGCCCCAGCAGGCCCTAAACCCTAAACCCGAAACCCCAAACCTTACACCCTAAACCCCAAACCCTACATACCAAAGCCCCAGCAGGGCTTCAAGGGATCCAGGCTGTCATCGCTAAGCCGAAGCATCTCTGAACTCGGCGGATTAGGGTTTAGGGTTTAGGGTTTAGGGTGTACTTGTGACTACCAGTCCCTCCTACTTCGGAGGGCTCTCTCTCTCTCTCGCGCTCTCTCTCTCTCTCTCTCTTTATCTGTATCTTTCTCTCTCTATAAAACAAAGATGCAGATGAGGATGTAAGCATACATCAAGGTATAGATGAGGTGACAATAGATACATGGGGATATAGATATATCGAGAACTATGGAGATACATAGACATAGGGTTTTGGTATCTATATATGTATATATATATGTGTATATAGCTGTATCATCTGAACATACTGAACCACTGAACATAATGGGTTGCAGGAAACGAAGGCCCCACAGCTTCATCTTCTATAGGCATACGTGTATAGGTTTATAAGCTTACTGGCTCAAGGGTTTATAGGCTTACAGGTCTATAGATATATAGAAATGTATGTATACATACATAGATAGATAAAAATTGGGTGTATATATATATATATACATAGAACTACAGCTTGGTAAAGATATAGAGATACAAAGGTATGCAGTTATGTTGATACCCAGAAATATAGACATACATATAGCTATATATGTATGAAGATACCGAGATAAGAAACTAAATATGGAAAGCATATGTAGATATAGATGCAGATATGGTTACCTGGTTATAGATACAACTACAGATAGATACAGGTGTAGATGCAAATACAGTGATGAACACAGAGAAAGGATATTCAGATCGATACACGGAATAGATATGGGTATAAGCACGGGTATAGATATAGAGCGACCTAGATACACATACAGATACAGAAAATATAAGCCTTTTGTGAAATGGATATAGGTATAGAAACATTACATATATAATATGTATATATATATATAGATACATAGAGAGAGAGAGACGGATAGGCATACCTTAGATAAAGATACGGTTGTGGATACATTTACAGCTATAAAGATCAAATTATACAGATACCACTGCACTGCAGATGCAGATACATGTTTGGGTATAAGGATAGCTAAAGCTCTAGGCACATGAAGGATTCACAAACCTACCTACCTACTAGTTTATAGCACGCGAGGTCAGGAATGCTGAGCCCAACAGTAGCTCACCCTGCCCTGCGCAACAAGGCTTACTAAACCCTAAACCCTAAAAAGCACCTGAGGTCCCAGCCCCCGAAAGCCTTTCAAGCCAACACCCCCACAGACGGTTCAGGGTTTAGGGTTTAGGACAGCCCGCTTTGCTTGCATGGTCACAAGATGACGCCGATATAGATCCCTATAAGTCCATTCTGAAATTCTGCGCCGTTGCCCATCATACTGACTGCATAGAGGCACACCATAGTGTACCTCGATGTACAACGTGTCTAACTCAAGGGCTTGGGAGAACCCACTCCCTTCCGTAGGGAGAGTGCCCTTGAAGGAGATGATGGCACGGTTTAGGGCTTCAGTTGCTTTGGGTTTAGGGAAGGTTTAGGGTTTAGGGATGTTAGGCTGAGGCTTCTTTTGTTGTAGGGTATTCCTGCCAGGCGACGGGGAGCACCCGTGGAGCACTGGAAGCACAACAGCAACAGCAGCAGCCCATGACCGCTGGCTTCAAGGCCCCAACTAAAACTATGGGAAACCTGTGGCCCAAAAGACCTACCTTTTTAAGGAACTCCATATAGAAACCTAAAACCTAAACCCCAAACCCTAAAACCCTAAACCCTGAACCCCAAACCCTAAAACCTTAAACCCTGA